AAAAAGTTACTAGTTACCGATAAAATATAACTAAATAAAGTTAAAAGATAAGAGTCTAAAAATGTAACTAGATAAAGTTAAAATTATTTAACTTTTTAACTTTTTAACTTAACTTTTATCTTTTTAACTAGACACTACCCAACCTTGGTCAAAACACATTTATTCATTTTCACTATCTACGCTTTCTGGATTACAATTATTTGGATGATATTTATCATAAAAGCACGTGAAACACTAGTTTTGTTTACACCATGAACATTTTATGAACGATACATCTTTACACGCACAATTCTTTTTTAAAAGTGATAGTGGAAAGCATACGTCGTTTACATTTAAAAAAATTGATCTCTCCTCTATCAATTTTGCCGCAAACCATACATATTTGATCATAGGAGAAAAAATAGGAGCGCTTAATTGATGATGGACTATTGAATTTATTTTTATGGAATTTTTGCGTGATGCTATTTCTCTCTTATCTTTCAATAAAGCAGAAGAATTTTGTAATCTTTAAATCTTGTAAATGTTCATGGTGTAAACAAAACTAGTGTTTCACGTGCTTTTATGATAAATATCATCCAAATAATTGTAACCCAGAAAGCGTAGATAGTGAAAATGAATAAATGTGTTTTGGCAAAATACTTTTTTCAGTTGTTTTTTAATTTTGAATTTCAATTGTAATTATGTTCAAATACTGATGTTTTATTTATTTCATTTTGTATTTGTGTGTGTTTTTTATTTTATATATATATTATATTATATTATTTTATTTTATATTATTTTATTGGATAAATGCATAAAACAATAAGCATTGGCTGCGTTTAGGAAACGTGCTAACTGTGCTATTGCATACTTTTATTTGTATTGTTATTACATGTAAAACAAAGTATTAATTAAAATTAGAAAAATATTGTCTTTTAAAAATACACACTAAAAAAATTAAAGTTAGTGGTGAAATTAATTTTATTTTACATGAATATACGTATATATGTTGTTATATCACATAAAAAAAAAAAAAAAAAAAAAAAACCAACGGGAATTGAACCCTAGTCTCAAGCGTAGTAGTCAGGCGATGAAGCACCTGCGCTACACCGCAATTCTGGAAAACCGTAACGATATATAAGTAAATCCAAATAGTTTGAATCGATTTTTCTCGAAAATGGCTGAGAGATGCGTCCTATCCCTTTGCTCAAGTATTGTTCTGGTACAGTACTATACTACAAAAAAATCTTATTGAAATCGGTGACCCACACTTCGCGACCTCCCCTTGTGAGTGCAGGTGCTGCGAATACGACGGAGACTTCTCGAGTTCGAATCCCGCTATCATCTTAGGATTTTTTCAGGTCCGGTCCCTTTTAATGGAATTTATCGGTTGATTGGCGAGCTGAACTGGGCTTCCAAAAATTAATTCAAGTGAAATCTCTTAGCTGTGTGAAAGCGCAAGTCGCGAAATATTCTTTTATTGAATTTTTAGATAAATATTTAACTTAATAAACTATTTTGTTTCGTCTCACGCTTAACGTAAACACTATGCAAACTTTCAGAAACGCTTTATACAAACGCCTTTCAAACGCTGTAGCGTTCCGCTTTATGAACTTTTTAATGACCGTTTCAAAATTTTCTACGAACTTCCACAAAACGCTCATACAAACGTCAAATAAACGTTTATAAAACTTCTCATTTTCGTCAGGGTTTTTATGCAATCTTCACGAGTTGTTATTTCGCGGTTTTGTTCTATTAAAGTTGAACAATTCTGCAAACGCTTTATAAAATTTTGACTTGTCTATAAAAATAAACGTCACACGATTGACATAAAGGTGTGCACTTATTTATCCGCTTTTTATGAACACAATTAGTAATTAGTAATAATCTATTTATTTTTACCGTATTTTTTAAATCACAGAGTTTTTATGCAAAAAATGCACTTTTATAACGTGCAATAAATAAAAAAACGTTACTTACATTTAAAATAAACAAATTACTTACATTTAGATTATATTGTAGAATTTTGAGGAGAAAAAAACTATATCGAGAGACTCGAACCAGCAGCATCGACATTATTAATAAGTTAGTACGCTACCGCTACGCTACGCGCTCTTCGAAATAGATCGATTGAACGATCTATTTAATATTCTTATAAAGGAACTCGAAATTTTCAAATTTCATTTTCTCGCGAATGCTTGAGTAGTGCGTCATATTACTTTACCCTGCAATACTCCACATAGTCATCTATCGATCCTATAAATTTCGTCCAAATCGATTGGTACAACGTCGCCCCTTGTAAAATTAATAGAATTATTGATATATTAAACAATAATTTTAAGAAATATTACAATCCAGACGAAGTGTTATACGCACAGATGAATCGTTGCCATTCCGGGGACCCATAATATTTCGACAATATTTAAAACAAAAACGTCACAAATGTGGAATAAAACTTTTTAAATTATGTAGCGGAGCAGGATACGTATATTTGTTTCAAATATATAGCTGAAATATATACTGGGCAAAGGCCATACTATCTGCACAAATAATCGGTATACGAGTGTTGATCTAGCGGAAAAATTACTTGCCACTCATACACATTTGGTAGGAATCCTGCAGAAAAATCGTCGAGGAAATCCACCGGAGGTAACGACAAAAAATTAAAACGTGGGGAATTTATAGCTCGAGAAAATGGAAAAGATATAACAATCTTAAAATGGAAGGATAAAAGAGATGTGTTGATGCTTTCCACTAAACATTCGACGGAGGAGATGACAACTGTAAATAAAAAATTGTTTTTACATAAAAAGCCAACAATAGTTGTAGACTATAATTTGGCAGTCTTTTTGGTTGATTTGTCAGATCAGATGATCGCATATGGCACACCATTGCGAAAAACTGTAAAATGGTACAGAAAGTTAGCAGTAGAAATCTTACTAAATACATGTATTGTGAATGCACTAGTAATGTTCAAACACGTAACGCGCTGTAATATTAAAATTCGCGATTTTCGCATGAAACTAGCTGTGCACTTAACAAAAATGTCAAAATAGCGAAATTGACATTGGTTTCGTTTCTTCAAATATGAGTTCGCTGAAAAAACGTCACGAAATATAAAAGAAATGCCGGGAACAGCCAGAATCATCCGCCGATTTTGTAAAAGATGTTATGAGAAAAATTCTAAAGAAATAGGTAGAACAAATGCGAAAAATCAGACAAAAAAAGTCGTCACATATTGCGGAGATTGTATTGGTTCACCTTTTCTCTGTTTACCGTGTTTTAATACGACACATCGCAACATGCACGTATAACTTATACTAACTGATTTGAAAAATATACCTTGATGTACATGACATGTAAATAAAACTATTTTACACGTTCTATGGTGCATTAGTTCCTTTACATCTTTGTAATAACATTTGATAATAATATTGAAAATATTAGAAGTATTGTCATTTATTTGAATTATGCCTATCGTTAATTTCGGTATCGCCGATCACCATGGTGATTCCCATGGCATTCAACGTGTTAATAAACAGACGTTTCAGCTTCTTTTTGTGACTGAACATATCTCGTCATATCTACTGACGTGAGTGACGTGTAATAATAGCGGTTTTGATCGATACGGTTTGAATCGCTCTCTCGGAACGATTAATAATGTCAATTTGGCAAATCGACCAATCAAATTTACCAAAGTGACGTCATTAATTGCTCCGGAAGCAATTCAATCCGTATCGATTAAAAACGCTATAAGATTGTTTTTTTTTTTTTTTCGAAGAACGTCGTAATCTAAATTTTTTAATGAAGCAATGAAACAACGTAATATAACACGACTACTTGTAGTGGTCAAGGTTTTCATATATAAATTGAATCTTATGTATTAATTATATATTATTATGGCTTCTTATATATAATATATATATGCAATAATGATATAACCATGAGAGAATTACACATTACGCGCAAATAAACAATTTTAACACAGGACGATTCGATAATATGAGAGAACAATTATGTATCTACAGAATATAAATACATGCACAACAAAAGTTTTAATAAAGTCTTCACGGTTTAGTTCGTAATCGTGTCGAAGTAAGCGCCAGGTGGTTTTTCTACATAGTAGAAGCCATCTATATGGAATCTTCGCTTGACTATGAGCTGTTTTGTTTTTACATTAGAAATGCCTAAGATTGTTTTTATTATTCCACCTTCAGGGGTTTCTTCTCTTTTCTCTTGATAGGATTCTTCTTGCAATCTTCGTAAACGTTGTTGAGATCAAATGCAGCCTTTACATTGTCCTAAATGGATATTCAAGATCATACATTCGAAAGATATAGAATTATTAAAGCGATTTGAACTTTACATATTAACGATACGTACTAGTGAGAAAAGAAATTTAACAAGCTTTCCTTTATGATCTGCGTATGGGCGTCGCTCCACTTCCTTGCCGTTTTTAAATAGTATCAATGTGGGCAATTGCTTGCTCGTACTGGCATCGCTAATATGATATTTTGCCGCTGCATCAGGATACCTTCCAACATCTACTTTGCCAAATTTGAAGTTCTCCAATGCATAACTACAACAAACCTAATATATATGATAAATTTTCTTACATGTGGCATTAAATGCCACAAACAAAATATCTCTCACAGCGATGAAGAAATTTAAAAACACTCACGTTGCTGAGAGCTCAGAGAATATCGGTGCAAACGTTACACAAGCTGGATTCCATGCGGTGTAAAAAGCTATAAGCCAAGTTACTCTGGGGTCACGTTGCAATTCTTCCTGCAGTCCGTGAGCACCATGTAGATAAATTACATTTTCAGGTCCTTGATATGTCGGTTCTGGCAACACCAATCCACATACTGTAAAAAGCAAATTAATTGTTTATTTGTATATTAATTATAAATTTATCTCAATACAATTATTAATATTTTGTGTGTTATCCTACGTATGAAAACAAATGCGAACAGAATGCCCAGTCTCACATCCGCGTAAAACCACAGAATCAAGTTTGCTGCTTTTGTATACACAAAGCTGGATGTCAAATAATTTATCATTGTTACACTACCAGTCTTTCTCGTTCTTATCATGATAACAATTATAAGAAAAAAGAGAATTTCTGTTTCTCTCTAGAAAGAAAAGTAAAAAAACGTATTGATTAATACATGAAATACAAGTTAGTTGGTAGTTTCATATTGTTGATGAAAATTTGTAGTTACCCCATCGAGTTCGCAGTCGTCTTGAGCAAATATATAATTACAGACTACGGGAACGCGCTTCGACAGAATATAAGAGACACTGAGGAGGATGTTTATCAAGTAGTACGGCTTCACGAGCAGCCTCAGATCTTTTTTAAATGACATTTTTGTGCGGAGTGCGTTGGAAGCGGGATTTCGAGGTTATGCACCTTTGTGGAGGTGCGAATTGGGTCAGTGTTAAAATATTGTTGTCGCGCAACTTTATTGCACGATCTATCACGAAAGATCACCTGTCCTTTTCCCTATTTTACAATTCTTTAAAAAAACAATCACTATCTCGCACACATAATACGAAATGAATTGTCAGCTGTTTCGAGCTGCTTTTCGTCGAATTAGCCGAACGGAGTCAAAACTCGGAGCCGCTGTCACGACATGTGCTCAAGTTTCACATGTCGTTGAACGTGCACTTGATCTGAATAAAATTCGTTTACGTTGCCGCGTTGAAATGTACATTTCAACGATGCAACGTTACGTAAATTAAATGTGTGTTTACAAATACAAGAGAGAGTGACACTCTTTTCAAAAACTACTCAATAATCCATTCCGCAAGTATACTTATATTTAATGCTTCCTGATTACATGTGTGACCTGTGTGACTTCATTATATGTGTGCATATAATTAACAACACGATATTTTCGAGTCGTCACGTTTCAGATCAAGCGATTAAAAAAATAACAGAAAACTAATAACGCAGACAATTTTTTATTCACTTATTTATTTGTATTTTGCACGTACAATAACACGTACGCACGCGCGTTTTGTGCTGTTTTGTTTATAGATAAAACATCGCAAATCGGATCGAATGTGTTTACGGATTAGGTACGCGGTTCGATGAACCCAACTGCAAATCATTGGTCGCGACTATGACATTCCGTACAATTGAACTGCAAATATCTATTCGAGAACAATATGTAAAAACTGCTTGAGATAAGATTAGCGCACGGAATTCCTCGTTGCGAGTTAGCAACAGCAAATCATCACGTTGGTGAGGAGAGAGATACTTGAGCGGTCTTTCTTTATCTTTGTATCACGTGAAACATTTATAAAAAAATATATCAGATTCTATTTTCTCCTTCAACTTTTTTCGTACAAAGTGCACGCTAATACGCAGCGTTTTTACATATTCCCAGAAATCGCCGGCGCGAACATGAAGTTCGCTTCCTTCTTAAGGATCTGGCTACTTTTTGGAGCTTGTTTGCTAATCCACGCGAGCGAGAAACAAAATGTTGATACTTTCAATAATAGCTTTCCTGTGATAGTGATCACTTGGTCTTATAAATCCGCAACAGAGAAAGGTATGTTAATTTTCAAGTTTTTTTTTTATGAGAAACCTCCTATGTAACAATTCTGCGTCATATCTTCTTTAATATCTGATTTGCTGATATTTGACCTTTTAGTTGTTTATCTGTCATTTTTTGATATTTAACAAAAGAAATGTCAATATCATCTGCTAAAATCTATATCGCTCTATCATCCAGATTTTCAGGAAAAAAATGGATTAAATCTAAGTAGATCTAATTTAAATCTAACGAGATAAAAAAATGGAAAAATAGGTCTACTTAGATCCAAATTAGATATAAAGTAGATCTAAAGATATAGATATAAGTAGTTCTAGGTAACTTTACACCTTATTTATCATTAGATCTATTTTAAATCTGCTTGGATCTAAGTAGATGTCTTAGCTGAATAAAAATATTCTTATCTATGTAGCGTGGGATGTGATAAATAATGAAAAGAAGAGCGCTGTAGATGCGATAGAAGAAGGATGCTCGCTGTGCGAAGAACAGCAATGCAGGAAGACAGTGGGATTTGGTGGTAGTCCAGACGAAACTGGAGAAACCGCATTGGATGCAATGATTATGGATGGGTAATAAAACAGTAACAATTCTTTATTCTTTCTTCAAACAACGTGTTGTTGTCTGTTATTTGAGAAATGTGATCCTTTAACAGATTTATGATGGATGTGGGCGCAGTAGGAGGACTGAGGAACATAAAGAGCGCCGTTTCAGTCGCTCGCAAGGTGCTGGAGAACACTCAGCATTCTTTATTGGGCGGAGACTTGGCCTCGGATTTTGCCGTGAAGATGGGTTTCAAGAAAGAATCCCTTCAGACAAATGAGTCCAAGCAAATGTGGATGCAATGGAAAGCGAATAAATGCCAACCGAATTTTTGGAAGGTACACCAATTGAAATAGGCTTGCGAAATCTAATTTTTGTAATTATTTCCATTACTATAAATTATCGATATTTCTGTTGGTCTCAGAATGTCGTACCAAATCCGACAACAAGCTGCGGTCCTTATCGTCCGAAGGATGTAAAAGAGAACAGTGATGACGATATGGAAAGTGAGATAACTGGAAGTGAAGAAAATCACGATACAATCGGAATGCTCGCGATAGATTCGCAGGGTCGTATCGCAGCCGGCACGTCCACAAACGGCGCCAACCACAAGATACCAGGCCGCATCGGGGATTCGCCAATTCCCGGGGCTGGCGCGTACGCCGATCAAGAAGCTGGTGCGGCAGCCGGTACTGGCGACGGAGATATCATGATGCGATTTCTCCCAAGGTCCGTTCATTTAAACTTTTAGCACAGATTTTATTTTATATGCGATAGTATTTAGAATTATTTTAATAAAACTGAATATATATTATTTTATTGTGTAGCTTCTTGGCGGTGGAGGAAATGCGCAATGGAGCGGAGCCAAATGCAGCCGCCAGAACGGCGATTAACAGAATCGCTCAGCATTATCCTAAATTTTTTGGTGCAGTAATTACGGTGAATAAGAAAGGGCAATATGGAGCGGCGTGTAACGGGATGCTCAAGTTCGAATATTGGGCCGCAAGTCCCATTTTGGGAGGACCTAAACTGCAATCGATTTCATGTAGCAATTATAACAAACCAATGTAAAGATGAAATAAAGATGAAAAGTGTTAATATTTTTAAAACTATTGACCAAAGTTGCGTAAACGCACGCTATGTATCGAACATCTCTGCTATCTTGTTACCAATTTCCAACATTAACAGTTTTAAGATAAAATCAGTAAGAACAGTTAGCTTGTAAAATGATAAATGCATATATTCTTGCAAATTTTAGTCAAAATGAAAGTGATTGTAGTAGTACAATACATTTAAATAAAATTAATTATTATGATTGGAAGCAATGGGCGATCTTTTATTCCAATATAAGTAAATACAATTAAAACAAGAGTCATTTCATAAGTGGCTTTACAAACCAATGCATTTGCGAACTTATTTATTCTATAAGAAAACATTTTACATAAGTTAGGTATATATTTTTGATTTTGGCTCCACTCAGTGTGTCTTATTTCTGCTCCTAATTATATATGAAAATAAAAATTTGTATTTTATCATATCTTCCTTTGAGAAACTTACATCATATAAACATACAATTATGTATCATTTATGTCTGTATACAATATCTAAAAAACTTTATATAAAAATATATGTTATGTAATTATATAGTTATTACTCTTATATAGTTATTATCCTTCTAGAGTTGGACACTAAGAAAACTAATATTTACTCAAAAAATATAATCTTTGATATTACTTCTTACTATTAAATATGCGCGCGTGAACAAGAAACATGCTCCGAAAATGCATCGGCACAATACATGTGCACGCACGGGATTACCAAAAGAACAAAGTGTGTAAAATCAACAAATCAGTCACTCTCAACAACGATGTCATATTAAGCTGTTACGATACTCCTTCACGCGTATCGTATCAAAATGGTACGCGTATCAAGCACATTTATAAAGATGTAAACACAAGGCAGCGGGAATAGATGGCATTCCAATGGAGACATGGAAACTTGAAGGAGGAGCAGTAAAAAAGGGATTGATCGAAGTGATAAGGAAAGTCTGGAGCAAAGGAAGAATACCGGAGGAATAGAGGAAAAGCATAATTGTCCCTACTTATATACAAGAGAGATCATAATGTTGCGGCAAATTACAGAGGGATATCGCTGCTGTGTACAGGTTATAAAGTATACGCAGAATTAATAAGGAGTAGATTAGAAGAGGAAGTGGAAGAAAAGGAATTGATTCCGGAAAATAAACCAGGGTTTAGAAAAGGAAAATCGACTATGGATAAAATATATGTTTTGAATCATTTGGTTCAGAGAGAAAAGGCCAAGGAAAGAAGAGGAGAGAAGTTATACGCTCTGTTTGTAGATTTGAAGGCAGTTTTTGACAATGTAGATAGAAAAACTTTGTGGAAAATCATGGAAAAGAAAGGAATAAGTAGAGGTCTGATTAGTAAGTTGAAGAACATTTATGCGAAAACAGAAGTAGCGGTTAGGACAACGAAGGGATTCACTAGAGGATTCAAAGTGAATAAGGGAGTAAGGCAGGGATGCGTACTGAGTCCAACCTTTTTCAATTTATATATCGCGGATTTAGAAGGTGAATTGGCGAAAAGAAATGTAGGAGGAATTGCAATTGGAAACAGAAGAATATGGTCGCTAGCTTACACAGATGACATCGTCCTGTTGGCAAAGAACAAAACGGCTTTGGAAGATATGATGGACACTGTGAGAAGATTTTTGAAACAAAGAAATTTGGAACTCTGTGCGGATAAGTCTATTGGTGTTCAATAGTAGAAGTAGAAACGATAGTGAACAAGTTAGGGTGGAAAAATAAGAGCATAGAAAAGGTTAGGTGCTTTAAGTACTTAGGTTTTACGTTTAACAGGAGGGGAGACTATAAAGATCATATTAAAGAACTCATGGAGATAAGGGAGGGAGCGTTGTCGAAAAAAGATGAAGCCTAGTCAGCCATGTTTATATGAGCCACTAGTACTGCCATCTGTTAGAACTTCACAATACTTTGATGGAATAATGCCCAGAATGATATTTTAAGAAATCTAATAAACATATTTACTTAAAAAACTAACAAAAAAAA